TATTAAATTTGTTTTTTAGAGTAAAATAAATTTAAAAAAATTACATAAAAAAAGCGAATTATTTATTTTTATTTTATTAAATTTTCCTTGAACTAATTGATAATGATGTAATTGTAAAAAATCCTGAAGTTATTTAACTTGAAGATTAACATCATTCAAATTCAAATTGTCTTGTACTTGATGTATGTTTATAAATTAAATAAAAACAGTAAGAGAAGTACTTGTTTTCTTTTATTTTTGCTATAATTAGCTTTACAAATGCGTATGATTAATGTTTGTGACGAGTCAAAATTGTATATTTGGTTAAAAGATTTAACAGTTTATAATTCAAATTTTGCAGAATTAAGAGATTCAAAAAATGCTGGTTCAAAAATAAAATACCGCGTAAATCAAATAAGAAAATATTTTATTGTATTTTATCGTTTTTTGTTTAATAAGATTTTACAACTAGCTAAAGATGATGTTATTGTAATTATGGATAAACAACAACAAAAAATTGATGTACGAATATCAGATTTTATTGTTAGTATTGCACCTGCTGCAGTGAAAACATTAATTGGTATTACAAGTTCATTAGGAACACTTCAAGTAAATAAATAATACAGAGAATATTTATTTACATTTATATTTTATTTTCATTAGACAAATGTTGAAGAACAAAAAGAAAAAGTTAATTCAAAATCATTTAAAGATGCAACTTTTTGGTGTATAAATGGTTTTTGTTATTGAATCATTTTCCGTAGACTGAAAGGATAGGGTCTAGAAACGGGAATCATCTATTTATATGTATTATTTTTGTTGGTAACATTGCACAAGTGACCATTTTTAAGGCGCAAATAACCATGTAACTATAGCATATTTTTGATAATATAATTTTATTTGCTATTATCATTTTATTTGAATAGCATAATATTTAATATATAAGATTTTATTCAATCGTATGAAGAGAGCGCTAACTAAAATATTTAAAATATTTCTTAATTATGAATGCTACCAGACTAATAGGTTGAAAGCGATTTGTTCTCAATAAGATTATTTATTCAGAAAAAGAATAAGAAACTGAATTTCTACATAATAAAAGAATACAAAAAGAACAGTACATAGAACAGAGAATAAATGTATTGATGAGCTAGATTAGCACATACATATTTATTTAAATTGTTCAGGTAAAAGAGATATAAGAAATAATTGTACAACAGTCGTTGATTGTTCACAGGAATACGTAATACGACGTTGTAATCATTTAGGTATAGTTAAACGTGTATGATGGAAATCTAATTTTTGTAAAACATAATTAGCACCAGATGGTTCACCTTCATTTTCATATGCTGTAAATTTTTTTATAGTTGGTTGTAATTTTCAATTTGAATAAAGACTACGATAACGACATATATCATCACTTCGTACTTCATCAAATGTTGTTAACGTTGGATTTGATGATGATGAAGGTTCATGTTCATTTCGGCCAATAACTGATATACGTTTTAAATTTCTTAATGAATTAGTATGTGATAATGAATATAGATCTGTAGGTATACTACATCGTAAAGTGTTATCATTGATATTTTGATGTTCTCCATCAGATTGTTTTTGTAGTACGCAAAAATCATATAGATAAAAACTTTCTTCATCATCTAACTCATCACAGGTGCTGTGATGTCCAATCATTGATTAAAACTATAGTAATTAAATTTTTTTTACTAAAATATAAAATAAATAAATAAAAATTAGCAATGAAATCTTTTTTTTGAGTTCTTTTGAGTTTTTTAAATTTTTCATGTTATTCAATTAATAAAACACATTATCTATATTTAACATAGAGATCATTTAAATATTTCTTACATTTTTTCAATTTTTTTTGTTTTTTGTTTTATTTATTTTTATTTGTTTTAATCCTAGGAAAAAAATGCAATATTTCACGTCAATGATTAAAAGATATACTTTACTTCAGATTCTGATAGTAATCTCCTTACTCGTCTTCGACGTCGAAGACGTCTTCTTCGTCAACGCCGGCGACGAGCTCTCGCTCTCGCCGCCCTTCTCCTGATCAAGTCATATTGGTGTTCTCGCTGCTGTATTTGCTGTAGTTCCTGCTGGTACTGCTGTTGTTGTTGTTCAAGTTGCTGCAGGAGCTAAATTGGAAAAAAATAATTTCAATTAATTCGACAATAGCAAAATCGCTTATGAGGGCATTTACCTGCTGCGCCTCGACAAGTTGTTGTTGCTCGAGGCTCTTGGGCTAAAATTAGAGGAAAGAGAAATTCATTAAAAAATATTAATGAT